CACACACACACACACACACACACATACACACACACACACACACACATATGACACATACACACACACACACACACACACACACGCACGCACGCGGGCACAGGCGCGAGCGCACGCGCGCGCGCACACGCACACGCACACACACAGACGCATGCACGCACGCACGCACGCTCCCTCTCCCTTGCAGGGCAACAAGCTGGCTTTTGCGGCTGACACCAAGGACAATGTGAACTACAGGGCGGATCTGGTGCAGGAACTGGCCCTCCTCAAGGACGAGTGAGCCGCGGGGTGCCGCTTAAAGTCAACACTTGATAGCAGGGGCTCACACCTGTCTCTGTGCATATCAGGGCCTGCAGTTGCCGGCTGACAATGCCTGGTGCAGAACGGAAAGCCTGTCTTTGGTGACCCACAGCGCGGCGCTGTCTGCTGTCGAACCCGCAGGTACAGCGCCCTGCTGTACGGCGGCCGGGTGTCCACGGTGGCCAACGTCTCCTTTGACACCCTCGCCCCCGCGGGGGCCTTCTCCTCCCCGCAATTCAGCAACCTCTTCTTCAGGTGCGCTTCCTTGTGCAGCGTGGCTGCTTGCATCCCATGACTGCACGACAGCACTGAGCATGTGTCCCCTCCACTACCCCGTTGCAACCGCCGCGCCCTCCAGCCTGCTCACTTGTGTCGGCTGCTCACTTGTTTCGGCCGCGTAAATTAACCGCAGGACACGTGAGTGCCTGCGCGACGACCAGACGTCCTGCTACGCAGAAGGCCACCCGTACTACCAGGTGGGCCTAGATTTCTGTGGGCTGACTGGATGCAGGAACAGATTGGCGACGTGCAACGGCTATCTAGGGGCACAGCAGACGTTGATGGTGCTAGGAACGCGCATCTGTCTGCATGGGCTCCAAACCGCTGTTGAACATGAACCTGAATGGCCCCACGCTGCATGGAACTCTAATCAATCCGCAACCGACCCGCCACCTACCAGATCACTCACAGCGGGCTGGATGCTCTAGTCATGCGTTTCTTGGAGACCTATGAAGCCTTTTCAATGCTGCCTGACGATGTGAGCTGCTTGCGCACACTGCATGTGCGCAACTAGCATTCATGAGTGTTTGTTGAATGTGTGTGTGTGAGGGAGGGGTGGTGGTGTGTGTGTGTGTGTGTGTGTGTGTGTGTGTGTGTGTGTGTGTATGTGTGTGTGTGTGTGTGTGTGTGCGCGCGCGTGCGTGCGTGCGCGCGCGCATGCGCACGCATAAATGTGTGCGCATTGGTGTCTCGGTGTGGTCATATTTTGGGAGGTATTTTGCGTTGTCTGGATTGGCACTCTGCACCATCTTCCAGCCATACACGCAACACTAAAGTAACCCGTTTCCACCTGTGCTTGCGGTCGCAGCTCGCTTTTGGCAACCATACCCTGTGAGTCTTGGTTGTCTGTTTCAAGGGGGCTCAAACTCTAGTGGCGGGCATCAGGGTGCAATCACGCGTGGGTTGTGATGGCAGAGCCTGGGACCCGCTTCATGCGACGGTGTTTGATGGCTGCAATGAGGCTAGTCACCGCACCTGCCTCTCGTCCCATGCCAGCTGTCCCGCCCCGCCCTGCCGAACCAGATACAATTTCTTGACGAACGTGGGCGGGCGCGACATGTACGAGGGAATGGGCCGCGCCATCAAAATGTTTGAGGGTGAGGCACCTTGGTGTGTGCATGAACCCGTCCCCCTACGTGCCATCTGTCGGCTATTTCCTCGCAGCAGGGCTGCCCATGGCCTGACGCGTTGACTGGACGACGGGGAAAAGCCCCCCTCTTGCTGACCCCCCTACTGCGCGTCGTCCGCAGACTTCACCATCAGCAAGTTTCAGGGCGTCACCCGGCTGCATCAGGTCCTGTTGGCAGTGACGGTCATCTTGGGGGTGGCCTTTGTAATATTGATCTACAGGCAAGCACCGGCGGGCGCGCGACTTGAAACGCTTGGCACCTGCTCTCGGATGTATGCCTGAGCTCAGTATTGAGAATGCACCGCAAGGACTTGGTTACTGTGCCCATTTGACTTCTGAGCGGTGGGCCAGGGGGCGTGAGATTCAGCGCCGCCGGCGGGCGCGACTTGCTGGCCTCGATGATTGCACTGGAATTGTCGGCGATGCTGTCCCAGGAGCATTGAGGACCTGCGCTGGCGTCCACCCTTCCAATCCCCCACGCATCCCGCCGCTGGCCGCAGGCCCTACACGCGCCTGCTGCTGGTGGAGTCGCGCGACATTGCGGGCATGCTGAGTCAGCTGCCGGCGGAGGTCAGCGTGGAGGACACCGTCAAGGTGCACGTGCTCGGCCTCCAGCCCCGCACCGACGGCCGCTGCTCCACCATGGCCGCCGCGGGCGGGGCCAGCGGGGCGGGAGCCTTGTCCATGGCGCCGCCTGCGTGGGTGGCCGGCGGCGGCGGCGAGGGCGGCGTGGGGCCCACCAGCATATTTGGGACCACTTGGAAATGATGATGGGATGATGATGCGATGATGAGTTGATGGCATAGAAACAAACTCTGAACTGCTGAACTGCTGACAGCCGGTGATTTCTGTGAGCTTCTTTCATCATCACGGCATGCACCTTGCTTTGGGAGCAGGCCAGCAGATCGTAAGGTCAACCCAACCCTTTTTTTTCCTGGGTCAGCCTCCCGTGTGGAGGAGCCCGTACGACTGCTGGCCACACGAGCCGGCTGCTTGCTGACCACCATGCATCAATGCAGAACAGCAAGGGCCTGGCCTCCGGCGGCCCGTCAACATGACTTGGCACGCCTCTGGGATGGTTCCGCACACCCTTCACCAATTTCGCACGGACAGGATGGTGCAACAGCGCACCATCCAGAGCTGATACGAAGCATGGCACTGCGGGAGGCAAAGGCACAACGGATGACAAACAACGAGCAATCTTTGGCAAATACATATCACTGCTGGCAAAAACGAATAGAATCCTCATACCTGCGCTTGTATTTGTTTTCTCACCCAACCTCGCTCTTCCCCTGTCAACGTGTAAACTTTTCTTTTTTGAATGCTATCTAAGCCCAGATGTTTATCTTGCGTGACGTGGATATGAGGGGCTAGGAGGGTCATTCAGCAGGACTTGCGGTGGTGGTGGGGAGCTCAGGGTCGGCACTGCTGACACATGAAGCGTCCACAATAGTATACACAGCACTTGCAGATCGGCCAGAGTCGTACGTCCCACCGTGATGACAAATCATCTTGGTCACAGATGCCAAGGCCAGCTGGTCCCGCCACTGTGTTTCATCAGTCCATAAAAACAAGGGGTTATCACAACAAATCGGCCGCCCAGTGACGCCGACGTCAAAACACCACCAACAACAACAGTACAGGCGCGTGACAAAACATAACCAAAAACAAAGCATGTTAGGCGGAGAGATACTTCAATGAACGCACCGATAGCACGAATTTAGGAGACAAGCGCGGCCCTCCACCTGTCCAGGGCCCTGGCAGCAGGGGCAGGACTTTGCGGGGTGGAGTGCCCGGGCCCCCGGCCCCTGCCATGCCCGCGCCGCAGGCGGCAGACACATGGGTGGTGTGGCCGTGGCCGGGCGGTGCCAGGTGCGAGCAAAACCATATCTCCAAGGCGCAGAGGGGGTGCTTTGCTTTGCTTTGCTTTGCTTTGCTTTGCTTTGCTTTGCTTTGCTTTGCTTTGCTTTGCTTTGCTTTGCTTTGCTTTGCTTTGCTTTGCTTTGCTTTGCTTTGCTTTGCTTTGCTTTGCTTTGCTTTGCTTTGCTTTGCTTTGTTACAATCGTCTAGGCCAGCTACGTAGACTCCTCCCGCCACTGTGACCAACCGTTTTGAACTAACAAGACGGGTCAAATACAAGCTAGCCGCCCAGTGCAGACGGCAAACAAAGTAACACCAAAAAAGCCAGAATAAAGCTGCAGATACGCAAACAGAGCAGTGAGGGCGCACTGCACACGCACACCCAGGAGACACGCCTGGCCCTGGGCCCTAGGGCCCCAGGCCTGGGGCCTCTCCAAGGCACAGGCAGGCCACAGGTTTGGCCGCGTGCGGCGACGGTAGCGCGGTATTCGCGCCGCCGCCGCCCCCGCCGGCTCCCCATGTTAGGAAGGGCATGACTTCGCAGGGGTATTCGCCCCGGGCCCCCCGGCACCCCCGCGCCGCAGGCGGCATACGTAGGGGTGGTGGGGCCGTGGTCGGGCGGGTGCGGCATGCAACGCCCCCTTTGCAAGATGGCGCGGACAGCGCTACTGGTGGGAACAGGTGGACTACGGTGAAAAGAAGGGCATGTTGCGTACAACACAACACAGCACAACACCACCACATTGCCCCGACGAGCAAGCCCTGCTGCGCGCAGCGCCTGCCACTGGGGCCGCGCTGGGCGACGGCAGGGCCGCACGGGACCGGTCCCTGCGGATGTTCAGCGGTCGTGGCGCGTCCGTGGGGCCGACCCCGACCCGCATATTTTGTTTTGCTTTGTTACAAGCGTCTAGGCCAGCTAGACTCCTCCCGCCACTGTGACAAACCGGTTTGAACAACAACTTTGGTCAACACAAACTAGCCGCCCAGAGCAGACGGCAACAAACTTAATACAAATCAAACCAGAATACAGCTGCAGACATACAAACAGAGCAATCAGGGCGCACAGCACACACCCAGGAGACATGCCTGGCCCTGGGCCCTGGGGCCTCTCCGAGGCTCAGGCGGGCCGCAGGTATGACCGCCCGGGGCGACGGTAGCGCGGTACCCGCGCCCCCGCCCCCCTGTCGGCGCCCCATGTTTGCAAGGGCATGACTTTGCAGGGGTGTTGGCCCGGGGCCCCCCCGGCACCCCCGCGCCGCAGGCGGCAGACGCGGCGGCGTAGGAGGCGGATACAGGGGTGGTGGGGCCGCAGTCGGGCGGGTGCGGCAAGTAACGCCTTCCTTGCAAGACGGCGGCAAGGTTGGATTGATTGATTGATTGATTTGTTACAATCGTCTAGGCTAGCTAGACTCCTCCCGCCACTGTGACCAACCGGTGTGGAACCAAAAACAGGGGTTAAGCACAAACCAACCGCCCAAAGCAGGCGGCAACACACGTAACACCAAACAAGCCAAGATAAAGCTCCAGGCATTTAAACAGAGCAATGAGGGCGCACTGCACCGTCCTGGGTGTGTGACACACCCAGGAGACATTTCTTTTGCTTTGCTTTGTTACATTCGTCTAGGCTAGCTAGACTCCTCCCGCCACTGTGACCAACCGGTGTGAAACAACAACAGGACACAAGCGCAAA